GATAAAGTTTTGAACGATTAGTAGATTTACACTAAACAATCAGATTATTCGCCCTCGACTTCTATGCGTAATTGTTGACTCGGGCTACGTCCTCTTCAACTATCGCGCGACAGAGATCTCGAGCTCATAATCTATTTGTTGCATGGATGGGTAGGGTAGGAAGGGAGTCTTTACCTCCCCCGGATAGCTTGCAGTATTCCCATTTCCACTGGTGATCTCAATTTGAGTTGGTAACTTCTTCAGTCACTGTTTCTATGCTTGTCTGTGATTCCTATGGTGTTTTTATTGGATAATCCTGTCTCCGTTTTCATATGTTCTTATTGAATCTCGGACTTCCAGGACTCTCAGGACTCCCAGGGATACAAGGCCCACCGGGAATGCCCGGGGAACCCGGTCCTGTTGGTTCCCCGGGCCGTCCAGGTAATGACTTAATAATTTACAATGGCATTGATGGAAATAATAACACGTGAAAATATTTAGCATAACTGGAAAGGTTCCTCGGAAATCCGTTCAGTTGTTTTCTTCATCTTCAACTTCAACCTTTTCACTCTCAAGATCTGACCGTTAATTCTCCTTATTCACTACCATATTTTTAGTAAGGTGTTGCTGTTAATACCCTCGAATTTTCAACTGGAATCCACATTATTTTAAAAAGTTGGACATTCATACTCAGATTCAACTTTTGTATATTGTTTCGATCGGCGACTCAAACTATTGAACTTTTCGGACGTACTCTCAAAGGGTTCTTGTATTAAGGTGGCTCAAAACAATTTTTTTTCTCAGCACTTAGATTTTGATGGGTCGTTATAACCGCTCTTTATCAGTTGATGCTACAATCATGGTATCAAAAAACTGCCCAATCATTTGTGAACACGTTGTTATCACTTTCGTGACATAATAGGTTAACGTAGCAACAGTATGACCTGCTAAAAATATCCTTGATTACAGCTTTAGGGCTTATAATTCAAAAGTCCCTAAAGCTGTAATTAAGGGTGTTTTTAGCAGGTTATACTGTTGCTACGGCGACCTATTTTGTCGCGAAAATGATAACAACGTGTTCACCAATGATTGGGCAGTTTTTTGATACCATGATTGTAGCATCAACTGATAAAGAGTGGCTATAATGACCCATCAAAATCCAAGCGTTGGAAACTGTTTTGAGCCACCTTAAGCTATGTTTACTTTTTTACTGATAGGAACAGCTGGCCTTCTTGGATCTGCGGTAAGTGTTACTCCAACTGATCAACTTGTCTGCCAACTACGTTTGACACAGTTTTATTTGTTCTCTGTTTGCCTTTTTTGATGTAACAGAGCCGTGACAGCATCCATCTCATTGGCAACGGACTGAAAATACGCCAAGGTAATGAAATGCTTGTTTGGAAACAGTATAAAGATACTCGGCGCCTATTTATGACTTAATTATTAATTACATTTGCTTTTCATTTAGCACATTATTTACGCACACCTTCTACCACACGCTTAATGCAATGAAACTCACTGTTCTCATTATAGTCTAGGTAAAAAATAAGAACCCGGCCATAAGAAAACTATTGGAAATTCGACAAGTCCTTTTGAAATATCCTTGTTTCGAACTGCGTTCATAAATAAATATCCAATAAGATAATATAGTCTGATTCTGTCAGCTGCGCTTTTACGCCAGTATTAGACGAAAAAAAAGCTTTTGAGTTCGAAAAGGCAAATGGCAGAACAGAAATTAGGTTCTATAATGAAGGAGCAAAGAAATGCGTTTCTTATTCACTAGAGTATAGTTCGCGACCGGAGGTCAACTCTCCAAGCTGCAGTTTGACCCTGTTCTATTCAGTTCTATGTAAGTTTGCCATGCAAAGTTTTTCTCTTCTCGATACCTAGTACATTAGTTAAGATGTCCCCAATTAGTAAGCTCCATGTAGCCACTCTCCAGACATAATTTAAGTTGTTGATTGATTGACTGATCACAGATAATGGTTTTAACTGACACCATGTGATCTTGTTGGCAGTTAACAGTCAACGCGTAAGCAACTGGACGCTGAAGCACAGGGAAGGCAGTATCCTGTACAACCCATCCAGCGGACACATACAGGTGAAGAAAGCCGGTTACTACTTCATATACAGTCAAATGTTTTACTACGATGGATCATCCACCTACATGGCTCACGCCACATTCATCAATGACGCCAAGGTCATGGGGAGTATCGGCAGTGTGATTGATTCAAAGAGGTTTCTGGACACCAAGTTTCATGGCGGGGTATTCTCACTTCGGGAAAACGACACCATCTCCGTTCACGTCTCATACCATAGTACGTATTACATGACTTTTGGGGAAAGCTTTTTTGGCGCGTTTTGGATCGGAGGTCCGGGAACACCAGGTAAACAGATGAAAAAAAATTAATGCTGCTTGAAGACGTTATTGAATAAGACTGGAACTGGAACAACCGGACGACAACTCAAACCTCTCAACTTTGCTAAATTTGCATCACTTGACGAAAATTCCTAGAATTGACTGACTGACCAACTGACAGACTGTCTGTCCCATGGTTTGGGTGACTGAGTGACAGATTGACTGACTGACTGATCGATTTGAAATCTGGAGGGCCCTGGTTTAAGTCCTCCACCCTACCGCTATCTGGGTTTGTTCTCGGTAGTCCCGAGTTCAACTCCTCGACCGCGTTGTGTAAATAACCAACTGGTCAGCCTCCAACCAGTTGGGATTTTTAACAGTTTATGTTCTAAATGCAGTATTTGTTTAATTATCCCCAATTAGCACAATAGTGCTAGATACACTTGACACTTGAAATTATTTCCTTCTTTTTTAATTACTTTATTTATGCTTACTATTTTCAACTGTGCATTTCTTCAATGTTTCAGACTCCAACAAAGCGATACCCCCGATATCGGTAAGAGACCCTTTTTTATTTAAAAAATATATTTTTCGAAGTAGGCAGCATTGACAAGAGGTTTCAGCGCTTGCCTTGTAATCCGGACGTCTAG